ACGCACTCTATCTAGCAATAGGACAAGAAGTAATAAACTTAAGTTGCACGAGAGTTCAGGTTACATATTAGAAACAATTTCTTCTCCAAAAGAGTGATGATGCACTGGCACAAGCTGCCCACGGAGGTGATGGAGTCACCTCACACTTGAACACTGCAGGTGTTCAAGAACCATGGAGATGTGGCACTTAGGGATGCAGTCGGTGGGTATGGTGAGGGTGGGTTCATGGTTGGGCTTGGTTGTCTTAGAGATCTTTTTCAGCCATAATGGTCCTATGATTGTATGATGCACCCCAACACAGTGATGCCATGCCAAAAACACAATACCTTCACAGGACGCCTCGCTTTCTTTTCCTATGTCAGAAGCTGTGAAGTAGTGCATAGAACTGAACTGTTTTGCTCAAGCAGTGCTGTATCTTTGACTGCAGACTGATAGCAGGAGCAATGCCTCCAGTGCAAAGCATGGGGGAGGGAAAATCCAAGTACCTTCTGGGTGGTTTTAGTGGCATTAGGTTACAATGACTTCCAAATGGTATCACTACAGCTTACAAAGAGCACTAAGGAAAATGATCACCTGCACATTACTAGAGAAATGTCCCAGCTGTTAGAATTCCAAGCTAAGTTTTACTAGAGTGAATTTATGACTGCTTATTATTTAACTTAGCCTAGGATCATAATTAAAGATGGTACTCTAAGGCGAATTCCCACTGATGGGAAACAGCATCATTTGAGACTCCAGCAAAGAGTAATCAGACACCTTTGGGGAAGTAATCAGGCATCTGTGAAAGAAAACTCTGATGTCAAGAGCCCCTCACATGGGATGCTTGTTTAAGTGTTGGGAGGCTTGCAGCACGTTTAATGAGACAGAAAGGTTAAAGGTTTTTTTCTTACAGATTTAAAAAACATAAAGAGAAGAACCAACATTTGATGTTCCTAATTAGCAGCAAAATAAAATGGGCAAATATTGTTGCACATGGGGTACACCCTGAAACAAGGAAATGAAACACCTTTTTCTCCTGAGCTTCCCTACCTCCATCTAATTGAAGCAGGTAAGGTTTTGTAAATATCTAATATCTCTCTCCTTCATGGGACAACGTAAGAGAGTACAAAAGAATATGCAGGATCAGGTCCTTGAACAGGACAGACTTTTATGTAAGAACTCTGCCCACCAAGGGCGATGTACACCATGAATCTGACAAATAATTAGCAGTAACTGTCTGAAGGCTGCCTATGAAAAGCCATGAACACAATTCATGAAAGATACAATTCTGAGCCACAGAGGATGGAACTGATAAGAAAGGAGAAAATTTTAACAGAGATATTTATTTGCAAAACTTCAAGCACTGCCACTGGCTGTTATTCACAGTATCTAGTGAATATTTTACAAATACACTCGTGGTTTAGTATGTCTGTACAGAGAACCTCAAAATTTGCAAGACTTTATATTAAACGACAGTGTAACACTGGTGAGTCCTCTGGTATGATGGTTTATTATCTATCCACCAGCTGTTATTATTATATAGCTGTACTGTGTATTTCTTGAATGGTGTATTTCAGAAATATTATATTTCAAGGCAGTCTGTATGGTTTCTTAAAACAGCTCTAGGGTCAACTTCAGAATTAAGTTCAGTTCACAGGCTCTGATTTAGCAGAGATCTTATGTGCAGGCTTTTAGCTCAGGCATACGAGAACTGCTTTAAATTGCCTTTTGCGAACAGGAGGAAGGAATGAGATAACAGAACCAAAGAAAGCTCTTCCTACTAAAAACTAACACAAAAGGAAAGCTGGAGTTTCCACCGTCAACCAAAAAATTAGTCCTCTACACTGTTCCAAGTTAACTACAATATTTTTGCCATCTTATATTCTGGTTGTTGTAAATAGTACCATCTCCCTTTAGCGCCTCTTTAAAATTAAATAATAAGAGGAAAAGGAGAGTAACTACAAAAGAAAAGATGCAACATTCACATTTAGCTAACAGACTGGACCCAAACTCACTGGAGCCTGTTCTGTGACCTGAGATGGCTTTGATAGCGAGGAAAAAAAAAACATTCCCATTTGCTGCCAAAGTGTTCAGGATCCCACATTTATCAATGGACAACTGCAAAGCCTCACTGCTCTGCACTGATCTGAAGCTCACTATTCACCAGGGAATTCTGAAAATTATTCTGAACATTATGCAAATTGTTCTGGGCACATTTTCCTCCAAACTAAGAAAGGCTTACATAACAAACACTATACTGTTTTCTAGATTAGCTCTACTGCCCACAGACTTAATAGTGTGTGACAGAAGAAACAAATTGCAAAAATGCACACTGACAAACAAATCCACACTTCCCCTCCAGAGCTGAAGACCATCACAAACCATACTACCTTGCAGGAAGTAAAAGACACATTTTCATGACCTTGTCCTCTTCTACAACATACAAACTTAAGCCCAGGAGAGTATACAGGAGGTAACGCGACAGCCATTGGTCACATTGCTGAACGCAATGGGGAAAACATTGAGACACAACTGTGAGGTGTGCAGAAGATTCTGCATAAAATAAATTTGTTATGCTAACCCCACGCTCTTATATTTGTATGCTAGACTGTCTGGCTGAGCAGCACTCTGTATTCAGCTTCCCAGTACTTTTGCATGAATGACATTGTATAAAGAGGTACTGTATTTACTAGCTGAATAAACAATAGGTTTTGCTTTCACTCAAGTATTATGACTTCAACTCATTTTATTTATATGTCAGTAGTTCAGAATGTGCAGTGGTCCAGGCACATCATCACTGTTCACCTTTGTCAGAGAAGGGGCCAGAAACATCCACGTTGTTATATCTCTAGAACAGCTATAACTCATCCCTGTAACCTTTGGAGAATACGCAACAATTCATTTTGTGTTAGCAACACTGCAGAATCTATTTATTTTTAAATTCATGAAAAAAAATACACCTATTTTCAGTGTCCCTTGGTGTGCACACAGCCCAAAAAGTGACAAGTTGACAGAGCCAGTACAAAAAGACTGGCTGCCCAGTCATTAGCTTCCTATAGCAAAAGCTCAAGGGAAAAAGAAATCACTGACTTTAGCATCATCCCTGCCATTAGATGGCACACCGAATGTTGTCAGATCAGAGGAAGGGGGATAGTAACTGCCTACCTGAGTCTCTAAGAAGCATGATGTAAGCTCAAGTACAAAGATTACAGGACCTGGAATTGCTGGGAGAGGACCCAAGGAGCACTTTCTCAGGAAACCAGTCCCCAGGCATGTAAGATGTTAAGCACCCAGGCACCGAACTATCTGAGGATGGACCCATCTTTATGCAGCTCCCTTGATCCAATGAGCTGGCTTGCATCATGTTAACTAAGCCAGATGCTGAATCTGAGTTGTAAGAGTCCATAAGGAGCAAAATCAGTGAGAATCATTCCAGTTACTTCAAGTGCCCCTTCAAAATCAATCCTTCCAAGTTCAAGGTGACGCCATTAACTACAGACCTAAGCATTCATAACGCCCATAATCATGGGTTTCAGTCATTTACCAGGTGGGGTAAAAACCACCTAAAACATTTTTATAATCTTAAAAACCTTGCAGTGAGGAAACGAATATTTGGGCATACAGCCAACACAATAAAATCTTGAATATTATACCATGCATATCAGCAGTACCTTGGCTGCACTCAAAATAATAACTAGATAGTTTTGTCGCTTTTAACATAACATAACCTATTAACTTTCATCACTGTTCTGGGTAAGTAATATTACACAGGATATAACTGAAGAAATAAATATTGACACATGTTGCTGTTAAAACACTGATTGAAAACTGCAGACCAGAGCATCAGAGCGTAGCAGGGTCTCTTCAATTCCAAGATCTCCTTCTCACTTCTGATGTAAATTCTCCATCCCAAGGCTGCCTTTAATGTAAATGGGGTTTGTGTACGTGTATATTATATATATAAAAATAAGCATGCTCACGGAATAATGAGCCCTGAGAAATACACTCTTTCAGCACTCTTGTGGGAAGGTGAGGCTGCTGAACGCAGCTGTTTTCATGATTCACATCTGAAAACTACGCTCTATGGGCCTGGCCAGGTGAAAATGCCAGGTACGCAAGGGCAGCTTGTAAATCTGCTTAGCTATTTCCTTCTGGCAATCTGCCCCCTGTCCTTTAACTTTAGTTGGGACTGGTTAAGCACCGTGCACTTCTGAGGACTGAAGACTGGGAACTACATGTCATTTCTCCTACCTATAAATAACAGCAGTCAATAAAATAAAGGCAAATAAAGGCAGTAAATGATGTTTATTTCTAGTCTTATTTTATCCCGCACACATTTCTCTCAGAATTTTTTATGTGTTCCTCTAGCCAAGGCTGTCTGTGCCAATGCAACAACTGCAACCTCCCTCCTGCCCCCTCCAGCCTGCTCATTAGCCAGTGTCTGACAGAAGCAAGCACCAGCTGCTCTACAAAAAGGCACATGAAACACTTCAGCAAGATATTATGAAATCATCTGTCTATAAGGAAAAGATTTTTTTCTTCCCCTAGTCACCATTACCTAAAGGTTGATATAAACTTTTGATTAAAAGGACGGTGTTTCTTCAGAACTTTTTTCTTGTAAGAAGTGAAAATCATAACCACATCTGGATACCCCATTTTCGACTCAAACAGCCAAAGAGTCAGTGCTAATGGGGCTAACCTTGTACCTGTGAGTCTTTTCCTTAGCATTTCCTGTTGTCAGGCGTCTGTAAGGCCCCACAGTTGGCAGAACAGGGACACTGGCTGTTTGGGGCTTGCATATTTGGGGCTTTATCTACATGGTATCTCATGGCAATGAGCTTCACAGGTAACTGCAGGCAGGCATAGGGTTAGTTCATTTGCTGACATACTCCAGCAGAAAACACTGCATACGCTACATTATTTCTTTGGCAGCTCACATCTATCTTCAACACAATTTAATGACAAAGTTGAAAAAAAAAATCTCTCATTAGTCGAATGCGAAATTTATAAGTGTAATCTACCTTTGGAAGCTTCTGTGCCCAGTGGATTTTCCAAGATGTCTATCATATCTTGGCTCCATGCATCCTTCACAGCAGACTTAGACACCTTCCTGTTGTTCAGGCTTTGCTGTGGTCGGAAGTTATTCCTCAGGTACTCCACGGACTTGACGTGGTCTTGTTGCTCAGTGGTGAATATGGAATAGAAAGCTTCCAGCTGACCATCATGGCGGGGGAGAGAAAGGACATTAATTAGAAAACAATGTGCTGAAATCTGGATGGCTGATAAGAGAATAAAATGGCAGGAAGTGTCGATGCCAAGACTGATAAGCCCTGCGGGAAGTCAGGCTGCCCACTGAAATTACTGCCAACCTCCTTATCTCAGCACAGGACTTATCCTGCCCAACAGAAGAGGAGACCTTTGAGCAACTCATGGCTGTCTGTCATGGGCAAGGACGCATTTCCCCTTAGACCTGTTGTCTGGAAGGAGTGTGAGTGTGTGACAGCCCTGCCAAGCCCTTCTCACTGTTGGCATTGCTTTGTTTTGTATTATCGTGCCAAAAACGTTTCCATCCCAAGAGCTCTTTCCAGGAGATGGTGATGTTACCTTATCCCTTATGGGATGAACACCCAAATCCCAAGCTGAGTGACAAGTGGAACAACCTCAGGACTCTCAGCTTTGAGCACCCTGACCTCCCTACCAGTCACTGCTCCCTCTGATACCTGCAACAGGGTGAGAAATTATAACATAATACAAAATGGGCACAGTTAGCATGTATTCCTCTGGGAGTAAGTTTTCTCAGCTGTATTCAGATTTGAGCTATTTTTAATAAAATGTATTAACCTGGAAGGAAGAACTGTAATTGGGAAACTTTTCTGTTACTTAGGATCTCAGCATTTCTTTAGAACAAAATTTCTAGCAAATTAAGATGAAAATATTTTCAGCTAATGCTGTTCTCACAGCTATCAAGGTCAGTATAGCATTTACTAATAGCTTGTTATCATTCAGGTCAAGAACCAGAATTAGTTATGTCTGCTGAAAAGGCTGAGCAAGACAGAGCAGAGAAAGATTCACTGCTGATATTGTTTACATCAACATCAATTACATATATTGATAGTACAGATTTGGAGAGTACAGAATCTGGCCCAAGACTTTAAAAAGGACTTGGATTACACTCGTGGTTTAAAGGCAGGTCACTGTGAGCACAACATCCTTTTCATTAAGTGCTTTTGTTCTGAAGTATAGAATAAAGCCTAAGAGTCTTGAAACTTCTAACTGGGAAAAATTATCACTGTAGCCTCAGCTGACGGTGCTGATAAAAAATAATAAAAGGAAAGAACAGCTAAGGATACTCCACTGAATCAAGAGGCACTCGCTGTCAATATTTGATTTCCCTTCAAACCAGTAAACAGAAACTTCTTTCTGCTGCTCCTGTCCAGCTGGCCAGTTCTGCTGGGCTGGATGATCCTTGTTACTGGGCTGAAATATGTAAAACTTATCACATGGGCAAACTTATCCCACGGGCAAGTGGAGTCAATTTTCACACTTTTCATTTCAAAAGTCAGTCTCCCTGGAGCGAGGATGTGTGCTGGGCTGGCTAATGGAGAAATATATGGGAATGTTATCACAGTGAGCAGTGCACGGACAGCAGGAGGGAGAAGGGACGGACCTCAGCGCGCAGATCCTGAGTTGGCTGCTCTGCACCAACACACAATACAAGGGAAATGAGCCTCATAATGGGCAGGCACTTCCAAGGTAACAGCACATCCTTGTACATTATCAGCAGCAGCTTCCCCGAGGACAATTGCTCTTACTGAACAAGCAGGGAGCCAACGCACAGGGAGAGTGGGCAGCCAGCAGGAAGGCGACAGCTGGTGGCTGGCTCCATCTCAGGCAGGGGACCCAGGTATTGCTTTGAGCCTCCAGTGCATGCACTGATGGTGAGATTTGGATTGTACTTCTGCATCTGAGGTGAATGTCACATTCCCAAGCTCTCTGCTGTAATTTTCTCTCTAATCCTTAAGAGAAAGATGTCAAAAAAATCTTGAAAACTCCTTGCTAATTACTAGTATGAAGTACTAAAAAGCATTGATAGATGGGTTAAAAAGTGAGGTAAAAGGATTATCTTACACTTTTGTCTTGAGAAGGAAACCTGATGATCTTGCTAAGCCCTGTGCTCCTCTATGACCTTCTAAGGAGGCACTGACCATAACCCAGTAGACATTTACTTGTGTTTTCCACTCCATGCTCGAGAACCAGTTCTGATGAAGGGAACTAATAGGTCTTTAAGTTACTCTGCAGAAGTTCATGAACTGGATAGCAGCTGCTCCTTGTCAAGTCAAGGCTTACGCTTCCATGACATTAATTGAATTTTTAAACTTTCAATGAGAACTTTTAAAATATTTTCTTCTGCCACGCTACCTTGGGGAGGTATAATTGCATTTTAACAACTGCCAGTTCAAATATGATTTTTAACCTTCCCCTTTTTATGTGTTGAAGTATATATAAGTCATTTCAACTTCATTTTTACTATAAAAATATTATCTGCTGCAAATGAGACATTAATTGATCTATAGCTGCCAGGGGAAAAAAAAAAAGAAAAGATGTACAGTCAAGGAGCTACACTCATGCTCTTCAAGGAGTACAAGAGCTCCTGTTCAGAAGAAGAAATCAAAAGCCGCTATAAGAGTGCTGTAGATACAGAGAAACCTGATCTAAAATTCCAAGTCATGTAATTACAAACCATTAAAGCCTGATGTGCACAGTGTTCTAAGGGCTGGATATAAAAGTGGTAATTAAAAATACTAAAACTGTTATAAGCACAATGAGATACTCTGAGGTATGCATTATGAGAGATAATGCTGTGCTTTGGGCCACTGAATGCACTTAGCTTTACAATGCATCTGCAGGGTGACACGGCTTGTCCTGTTTTGTTGTCTAATTATCGGGAGAGATGATGATGATGGAGCACCGAGAATAAAATAGAGAAGCCTCTACAAATGGACCACTTCAGAACTGTCCTTTTTACAGCAAGGTATTTTGCACAAAAGCAAGGATTTAATTGGAACAGCAACAAAGCTTAAACAATATCACTTTCCTCCTCTGGGATTACAGACTGTTTCGTGGGGTTTGTGATAAAGAAGGTTAAACTGTGGCAATGGATTATACTGCACTGTTTCTGTTAGAGGAACAAATAATAATCATGGCAATGGCAGGGTCTTAAAATACACCCATCCCCAAAGCTGCCAAGTGGGAGAATGCTATTATTTATTCCACATGTGTTGTAGTATCAATGAAAGCCTGTCTCCACACAGAACACCCAGCCCTTCAACCACACACACATGCAAAAAGCAGTGCAAGGCCAAATTGTAAAGGCTTGAGTTGGCACTGTTACCATTGTACTACATAGGAAAGAAACGATGCCAGGATAAAGCACCTTTATACCATCGTAGGGCTTGCCAGCATTTAGCAGTTTATTTGCATTTGTTAAAACTGAAAAAGAAGAAAAAAGTGCACGACCCAGCCCACTTGCACACAGGGGTGTACACAGGGCATAAAACTGAGTGCGGGTCAGGCCTCGCAGCCGCCCAATAATAAACAGTAAAGTTACTGATGCAGTGAAAAGCTACATGGGATTGCAAGTATCCTGCAGGCAAGGACAGAATTCAAAATGATCCTGACAATCAGAGAAACAGCCTGAAAAAGACAAAGAGTCTGATTCAACTGGGCCCACGTGCAGAAAGTCCCACGCTTTGCCTGCATGACCACACGATGCTCACTCAGCAGCACTGCTAGAGAGAGCTCTGGAGAAGGCATTTGCAAAAGGGTTCCTGTCAACCATCAAAAGTGGCATGCTGCTGTGAAAAAGGCAAAGTAATGCCGGCACAGGCAGCTCAACACACGAATCTGCACGTCTCATGGTACCCAGCTGAAGCACTGAGACCTGTTTTGAATGTGGCACTTTAAAAAAGTGTGGAAAGGTCCACAGGAGAAGCAATAGGATCTAGGAAACATGAAGACAAGCCTGGAGCAGGGGGCACAGCAACCACCTTCCACCCTTCTGAAATCTCTGAGACCCAACACCTTTCGGTCACGACCACTTGCTGAGCCACTTGCTTAGGTATAATTCACAGAATTAGGGTATTGAAAAGCTTTGTTTTCAGTGGCTTAAGCTAGATGAATGAAAGACTAACTTCAGCAGAATGGCTTTCTAAGGACAACAATCTTAAAACATCAAAAATACACTTAACTGGTAAACACTGGACTATATTTATCCATTACTTTATCGGAAGCACTCTTCTCCAGACCAATCCCAGACACGGGGTCTGTCTGCATTAAAAGCTGCTATGTGCTAATTTTAAGGATTTGTGTACCAGTTCTCTAAGCACATAATGGCAGCTTTACTGTGTTGGAAAAACAGTTAAGCATGGAGAATTAATGGAAACACGTCTTTTCTAATGTTATTAGTTCAAATTACTAAATCTGAGCAGAACTGAAATAATTCACTTTACTTTGAAAAGAAAGTTTCAATTAAAAAGAATAAAAAGGAGCAGCATGTAAATATTTACACCATAGCTTAATTTAATCTTAACAAAAACAACACCAAATAAATCACTGAGAGGAAACTAGGTTTCACGTTATGCTGTCTCCTTAAGACTGATGGCTCTTGCTCAGAAACAATATTACTAAAAAAATAATTCACCAACACTTCCCGTTACATCAGCAGAAATTTTTGTGTTCACAGCATTAAAACATGGGGTTTGGAAACACCACGTTAAAGAGGGCAAATCAAGAACCTGCTTTCAGCTGGAGGGGGGGGGTTGGACCCCGTGATCTTCAGAGGTCCCTTCCAACCCTTATGATTCTAAGAGATGTTGCCGATGAATTAAACATACCTGATGGTAAGAAATGGGAACGGGCTTCCGGAAAACGATCCACTCCACGATCTCACTGCAGGGAGGAGTGGTCAGGGAACCTGTATAGCGGTAGTAACTCCCCAGCGATGTTGGCAGCAGGTCCCTGAGCACAAAGGGATCCAGGAAGGTCTCTTTCTCTGTGGGGGAGTTCGACAAGCAAAATTACACTTTTTATTTTATTTTATTTAAAACATGTCTTTAAAACAGACATCACATTGATAGGCAGCCTAGGAAAGTGTAAGGGCAACAACACATTTTATCATATATATGTAATGAAAGATAGAAGCAGCCTATCAGGAGCACCCCGTAAGAGTTGATATGTTGATTATTAAAAGAGCAGCCAGAATGCCAGTCAATCCTATACACGCCTATTCAGAATGCACGCAGGTGTGAAAAGCCCTTGCTACCTCTATGCTTTCTGCAAGCACTGAAATAACACTGTATTCAGCGGTTTCAACACTCCGTGAATTTCTCTTCAGCTTGATGGTGGTGCAGGTACGCCACAGCTCTACTGGGACAAAGCTGGGCCCCAGGGGTCCCACTCTTTGCAGTCAAGGCCGGATGCAGTCAGCACAGCACCGTAAGAACATTTCAGAGGTAAAAATGCTCTCCCTTCTAATCCAAGAAACAACTTGTGGAGTCCAGCAGGCTGAGGGATGAGCTCCTTCCAGTAACAGTAGCAAACTGGTGGTATTTAACAATGTGAAGGTAAATAAATAAATGAAAGGAGGGAACAGCTGCAGGCAAGACAATTTCCTTGCCATCCCTTTGCATTTATCCTCCGCACTTTATGCTGACTCACTCCCTCTCAATCTGTGCAAAGGTGTTCACTGCCTCAGGGCACACTGACACGTGAGGCTCTCCCATACATCTCTATTCCTCACTTTCTATATTCTTACAAACAAAAGCCAGTTCACGTTGCAGCAACTTTCCACCTTGTCAGACCTGCTGGGCAGCTGATCTGATCAAGTGCCTGATTCACTGGGTAGCAATCCTGCCCACAGGGCAGCCAGGTTGGAACTGGATGGTCTTTGAGATCCCTTCCAACCCAAGCCATTCTATGATTCTATGATCATATTCTCCTGCACATTATCAACTAGTTTGCAAAGTTCCAAAATGAGTAATTCTATGAAAGTCAAAGTATACCACTTTGTAACAGAGTACTGCAATACCTTCATTAACCATTTCTTTCCTTCTAATTTGAGCAGATACCAACAACTTCTGCAGCCTCAGAAAGGAAGCAAGCAAAGAATAATACATCTTTTCACAGCACACCTTCAGAGAAGTGTGCGCTCAGGTAATAAATAGTAAAATATACATGATTGGCCAAAGTTCAAAGAGAACTAATCAAGAAATCATAATCACAGCAAAAGGTCGCATTTAATTTGATTTCCAATTAAAAACGCATTGGTTTATTTTTATACAGGAAAAACTGGTCTGAAAAATTGCAAACTCAGTCAGAGGATTTGATTTTCAAACTTCAGCACAGATGCAGCTTCACAGCAAAATGAAGTGTTTTGTATTTCAGAAGCTCTCTCTGTGGAAGCTGAGCACAGAGTGGGTGCTATGAATCCAAAAGTATTTGAACATGCAAACATCCTTTTTGTGCTAACAGCCAGTGACTATAAATGAAATAGATGGGAGAGGTACAGGCACATTTTGAAAAGAGAAAATTGGAAACCCTTGCATTCTTGTTTATTGGAAGATTTATGAAGTAACGCAGTGGTTATAATTAACAACTTAGCTATTTTTAACTTGGATAACCTTTTATTTAGAACGATGGAAATATCCGAGATGCTGGACAAACACTCTCTGTAAAAGCAAGAATGCAGAGTATCCCTTTATCAAAGGGTGACAGGAGAACGAGGCTCATTTTACACTCTCAAGGATTTTTGTGCCATATGCTGACAATATTATATTTTAATAATTAATTGTTCATCAAAGGAAAAGATGAAGAACAGGGATGCTAAATTCAAAGTTATTCAAATTGCCAAAATGAATAATGCATGACTTTTATATTAAATACACACTGTATTAAGTAGTCTACATTTCATCCAACTCTGTCTTTCATTTTTAAACATTTTGAACTACAATATGAATAATCAACCAAGGGAAGCTTATTTAGACAGAGAAATATCTTATTTGAATGCAAACTGGAAGTATCCAACTATGATTAAATTTTAGTTATCAATTAGGTAGATTTTTTTTCCTAAGCATTTGGAAACTCACAGTCAGCTACGAGGAAGGATATTTCTTGAGGAAAACGTAGCTTTGCTGAAGCACAGCTTTAAGTAGGACAGGGTGTACTCTCATTTTTCATGGCTACGAGCAATGCTGTAGGTTATTGTTAATGAATTCCAAAGATTAAAATAAAAAAACACCTATAATTGAATTACCGTGACTTTTAAAATAGATGATAATCAATTGTCTATGGTTTAATAACCCAGCACATTTGAAAACAGATCATTAATTACTATCTCCACCTAGACGCATGGTGCAGCTTTAGAACCCGGAGTCACAAGCATCTTCATGCCAAGCTTACAAAACAAGTGGCTTAGAGACTCAGGACTCTTTCTTCCATACAATATGAAAACAGGAAATGCCATGAAGTTGTGTTCCTGAGAGCCTGAGACAGTTTTGAAATGAGATTTGAAAATCAAGTCACTTAACATTCCAGCCTCACACTGCTGATGATTGCTGGTAAATCTGTAAAAAGAATCACCTGCAAGCCACACCACAGTATTCACTAACGTGGTTATTCACACATACTTACATGTGTGTATATGTGCATATATAGCATTCCTACTAACTGTAAAGTTGGAAAAAATATCCACTTTTGTCAGTGCCTTACATGAGCAGCTCCTGTTTCCTTTTCTCTGCTGGGACAGGCAGAGATTTTGCCCAGACAGCTGGGAGCAGACTGGGCAGGGTGAGAAGTTCATAGAGGGAAGAAGCCAGACAAGGCTGGGAACCACACAACCTTCTATGTAAGGAGAATTAAAAAAAACACAACACTACAACAATAAAAACAATCTGGCGTTTGCTGACAGGTACAAAGAAAAGAACTGGCAGACAAAAGCAATAAAACACATCAGTGATAACATCTGTGTTCACCTGCAAATAACCTGCAAACAGCGCGATGAATCCTGCAAAACCCACTTGTGAGCCAATGAAGAACCCCACACTTGCATGGTCTCCACTGCTCCCTGCCCTGCTCCATCCAGAGCACAGAAAAACAAGTAGGAAATGGGAGCCCTGGGGTCTGATCGTAACCACAGAGCCTCAAACTGCAGAGCATCCTCTGAGAGCAGCACTAACAGTGCCGCTGCTGCCACCACCACGTTGGGCAGCCTGGGAAGGAGCAGCACCAGGAGCACCATGGAGCTGCCCCTCTGATCCGTACAGCCAATTTCATTGGCAAGTTAACAAGGGATGAGTCGACAATGGCAGCACCAAGGCTCGTAAAGAAGTGTTCACTCTAATACTTCCCAAGGAAAAATTAACCAAGTGCCACATACGCATTGTTGACAATTAAGACAATGTGCTATTTAAACTACTGAGCATTCCACAGCATAAAGGGACAATATGGTGCTTTAACTCTCACATTCACAAAGTGCAATTAACAGTTAGCTTGTGTCTTCTGATACAATGTTCCTGTCCATTTTTCAGTCTTCCTCCTTTAAAAACAATGCATATTCTGCTTCCACATTTGTCTGCAAACCAACAGGAAAGCTTACATTTGAGTTTTTATTTTACACTAATACAGTAGGAAACATATGTTTACGTGACACATGCAAACTTTCTTCAGCCAATTTAGCTGTGGAAACAGGAGACAAAAATACAGGACCAAACAACCCAAGATAATGTCTGGATGGCCACGTACCTGTGTCAACATCAGGTGCAATCTTTCAACACTATTTTTGTTTACTAGACAAGAAATACTCTTCATTTTCTTCAATTCTGTATCATCAGTCAGTAGTGCTCAGTATATTCTTTGAGCCAGTAAATCTCCCTACCTTTTTTGCATGGGACCAAGGGCCATTTTTTGTACAACCGACCCAAAGCCACAGCAACTGCAGGCACGCTTTAAGGAGCTGACCTATTTACACTCCAGATTTGTTAAAGCATGTGAACAAATACTGAGCTGTGCACAATAGTTTTCATAGCAGAGGAAAAATCAGATGTTGAAACCAATACTGGTGGTAGATACCCACCAGCTACTGCAGTTTTCAGAAGCTGATGCCAACAAATACTATATTACAAGAGCTATCAGTTGAATGTTTTGACTTCAAGGACTGACTTGCTAAAAATAAATTCTCTGAAATGCTGGAAGAAGATCGCCCTGAATTTTAACTGAATCACTGTGCAATAGAAATGTTCTTGAGATATTCAGGTAAACAGCATCACAACTATCTGTGATCAAACCTCTTTTCAAATCCAACAGGAACTTGGATTGGAGATCAGAAGAAAATAGCTACATGCCAAGTCCATTTATATCTCATGGAATGCTTTGGACTTTCATCGTGCTTTTCTGTAAGAAAACAGGAACTTGGCTGCATTGGAAACAATATCTTAAAATGAGCTTATTTCCAAGATTAATGTATGTGCAGTGCCTGATAGGTGGAAACATTACCCAGCTACACTTTGAATAACTGCAAATAATCTGCAATACCAGTTAGAAGAGCTTTCAAAGTCTCCCAAATTTGTCAAACATTGTTACTGCCAATTTCATTTTTACCCTAATGAGCCAAGTCATTCTAAAAACTCTGCATTCAAACATTTAAAAAACAAACACACAGAAATAATCCAAAGGACAGCACGCCATACACCCACCAAGCCAGAACTTCCAAGATAAAGCAGGCTGCACACCAGAGACAGGGAACAGACTAGCTGTGGTGATGTTCAAGATAAGATTACAAATATTATGCGTTACTTTAACTGAAAAGATCTTCAAATGAGCACTCGCTGTGTAAATCCAGCATGCAGAGCAGTTTCTGACAGTCCTTTGTACTCAGTGTAATTCTTGTAGCTTATTGTGTAACTATTACTCTCATTTCTATTTTTTTTTAAAGGCTAGAGCATCTGCTGAACAATGCAAAGAAGCATAAGGACACATAAAGCAAAGCATTGCTGGGAG